GGCCCTGAATATAAAAGGCGTGCGATTGCCGGGCGATGTTCAGTCGCAGCCCCCTGGCCCACATGCATGCACATTGACCCACATGCACACACACACACACACACACACAGGAGAGAGATGCAAGAGACACACACTTTACTATATATATATATATATATATATATAGGATATGTAAAAGTATATCACATGTCCCCGCCGGCAACATATACTCGTAATCATTTTTAGGCACCGAAATTCAAATTTCATTTCTGTCGGCGACGACATGTTTATATGTATGTTACACACTCGAAATGCCACTAAACTTTCCGTTGCACAAACGAAAAAAATTCAGTTGCTGTCTGTCTTATATAATTCCCATCGCGACACCGAAATCGGCATCCTTTCAACATCTCCGGTCACATCTCGAACCATAATCTTGATCCCGACATGCCAAGCCACCGGCAGCTTGCGAATCCGCAAGCAAACATTTTTGAGCAGTTCATGTCGCTCATGGCAAAATCCAGCTACCCTTAAACAAGCGACAGATAGCAAAGAAGCAGCACTCAGTGAATTAACCATCAGATAGCCCGGGCTGGTAAGCTTCTCGTCACCACGAAAAGGAACAGGCTTCTCATCCTCGTTCACGGGAACAAGGGCCGTGCTGGGGGAATCAAGAGGCTTCGGGGCAAACTCCTGCACCTGCACCCTTTCCAGGCAAAGGTCAAGCTTCCTGATTGTATGTTTCCACAGACTTATAGGTAAAAAAAAGTTTGCAACACTTCTTTGTTCCGTCACACGAATTATATATACAGCGAAAAAACACGAAAAACATATATGTGCAGCCACTGCACACTTGATCCTCGTGCGACAGGGACCTGTAGACTTTCCGCTTGAAGCTCTCCTTCTGCTTCATCGCACGGAGGTGGCTAAGAAGAAGACGGATGGCGGTGTCCATCTTGTCCACAAGGTCCTCTGCCTTGTAGTCTTTGTGGCCTTCGAGCAGCAGGTTCTTTTGCTCGTGAAGGATCCAAAAGCTTCGGGTAACCCGCTGCGACAACAACTTCGTGTTCGGGGCGAGGCGAAGAAGGTCAAACAGCAGCCCAGCTGTCTTTGCCAACCACGGACCGTGGGCGGCAGTGTGCCAAGTGTAGCTTATTGGCCCGCCCGGAGGGGGGCACAGTAAAGGCCACAGGTCCTTCGTCTTCTTGAACTCGAGAAAGCCAAACACCACATTCGCCAGCTCCTTTGCTGTAATAAGCGGATCGGCAACCACTCGGTCCTTGGCATTTTTGCCCGTTGCAGCGGAAGCGCCCTCCGCCAGCTTGACCGAAGCTGCAGCTGCTAAGGAAGCCATGCTCGCAAGACTGTATATACTGTGTATGTATAGGATTTATGATTTCTCAAAAAAATGGAATGCATTTGTCTCTGTCTCCATCCAGCCTCGCACTTACCTCTGGGTCTCGTCTGGACCAAACACACAGCTGCAACGTCCGAAAATTTTTCTCACTCTCGGATCTCAGAAAAGTATATATATATATATATATATAAGTAGATCTCTCGCATGTAACCTACAAGAGTCTCGCACAGGTAAAGGTGGACTCCTCGCAGGTATAAACTATATTGTGATGACTCTCGCAAATGTACATGTACCGATTTCTCGCATGTAAAAAGCACACATCGCAAGCAATCCGCCGGCTCGACCCAGCACAGAATCAAACCGAGCTGCGATTTCAACATGGAAAACCATGGCTTAACAAGTATGCTTGCAACACAATTCTCATAATTTTATCTTCACACCTGACCATGCCGCACTGTACAGTCGCAGGAAAATCTCATGCAATCAACAAGCAGAACCATGATAAAAGAAACAAAACCAACCAAAATTAGCTTGCATTTCACTTCTTCAAATTCGGGAATGTGTAACCTAAAAACATGTATTTTGCAGTGTAAAAAAATTTACATTGCAGTGTAAATTTTTTACTATACAAAGTAAATTAATTTACACTTTTTTTTTACGTAAATTTTTTCGTAAATTTGAAGTGTAAACCAAGCTTTGTTTAGTAAATTGCTCGCCACCTAAAATTAGGTAAACAGCAGGGTCAGGGCTGTGAGCCCCCGGTCTTGCAGCCGGCGCTGGTTGAATGGTCCTGCTCTGCAGCTCGGCAATCTGAGCGCGAAGCCGAAGCACTTCCGCTGAAGGATCCTCCGCCTCCGGCGGCTCGTGCTCGTCTTCTTCGTCGCCCTCGTCTCCTCGGTGACTCTCTGCAGTCTGGTATTCGATCAGGGCCGGGTCGTCGAAGGCATCATTGATCCAATGTTCGGCCCGGTTGGACAACTAGACTATACCATCTTTCTTGAAAGGTATCAGTTCTGGAAGCTCCGAGGCTCGAGGCGCAGAGGCTTTGCGGAATTTCCGTAAGTAGGTTTAGGGCACGTCGATGAGCAGCATTGCGATTTCCCCCACCGCTCTGCGGCGAGGCGTTTCGGCCTCGACAGTTGCTGTGCGATGGATCACGGCATCCTCGGAGTCTTCGCCGGCCAATGCAACCACCAGAGCAGAGACCCAGTTTTGTACCGGCGTGCCCACCAGAAAACCCCCACGCCGAACACGAAGTAAAAAGGCTGTGGTTTGCCAGACAGCAGCGGCCGGTTCCTCGGCATCCACCAAATATAGGAAGCCTAAAGGCCGACCAGGCTCCGAGGGCACCATCCCCCGCACATCGTCCTCAGTCATAGGACGCACGGCCATCTCCTCCAGGCAGCCTGTGCTAAGGCCTGTCCCTCCGAAAGTGAGGCAAAGGCGTGGCTGACCGAACCGTTCTCCGGGGTCCTGGACCTCGGCTCGAAGCAAAGGGATGCGTAACTCTTGAAGCCCTGGGTGGCAGAACCTTCAGGATGCGCACGGCACTTCAGAACCACGTACCACCGGTTGGATACGGGAAGCCGAGCCGATGATTGCTGACACCTTGCCTCTCCGGACAGCTTCTGAGCAGCACTGTAACCTGCTCGCACCGCTCTGGCTATGCGCCCCTGTGCGGTCCAGTCACCTGTAGGCCCAATGGCCCTGGCAAGGTGCTCGTAGATACCCAGCTCCACGCCGTTGAGCTCGCTGGCAGAACTTAGAGCAAGAAGTGAATCCGAAGCCGGAGCTGCGAACTCGCTTGCGGGCGCCGCGGCGCCGGCAAGGGGTCCAGAAGAAGAGGCCCGGGCGTCTGATGCACTCTCCACCAGCTCAAAGGAAGCAGGCTTGGGGAAGTAGAGCGAGTCTTGGAAATTCGGATATCAAGGCCCGCGAACCTTATACTAAATTACTAAAATCCTCTGTCGGGTCGTCTCTGTCAATCATTCACGGTATTCCCTGAGCCGTCGATGCCCAAGGCCAGCAGGCTCGGTCCACTGAGCCTGCCCCACAACCCGCTCCTCGAGCAGCTGGCTGGTGACCCTAAAGCAGAAGCCCAGTAATCGCCGCAGCTTGGCTGAGAGCAGCAGGGCAGCGCACAGGCCTCCAACGCAGAATCCCACACAAAAGCCCAGCAGCACAAGGAGCGCTACGGCGGCAGGTCCTACGCAGTTGTTCGCCTGAGGCCACCAAAAGCGAGCTTCACGGATCAGTTCCGTGAAAACGCTGGCCCACATGAGCCAAGAAGCTGAGACAACAGTCGCTTCCTTGTCCGCTCCCTGGCAATGCTATACTGGCAGAGCTTTGCAGCAAAGCTCCAGGGGCACTTAGTATTAATGGCAACTTAGGATTAGTAAACCCCCCCTGATTAAAGACGCGCTTTGGGGGTCCGGGATTTGAGAAAATAGGGGCAAGAGGAGTTTAGAAGGGCGACTACGACCCCCCAGAACAGTGGCCTCAGACCTTGAAAAAAACCCCAGATTAAAGCTGTGCTCCGCCTCAGGCCTAAAAAAATGCAAAAGCGACGTGTTCACTGTCTAAACATGTTCATGCAAAGGGCACACACTCACGGCTTCCGTCTTTTCAGTCCCCGTCTGCGGTCTCACAGGCCTCGCTGGCCCATCCGCTCTACGGGAGCAGCAGCAGCAACTGACATTCAGTCACCAAAGGGAGCAATGAACACTGCAGAAAGCTGTATGCTTACATATGTTCAGACTGATTGTCAGCGCGTTCAAGCAAACTTTCCTGACACTCAGTCACCTTTGGGAGCAATGAACACTGCAGAAAGCTGTATGCTTACATATGTTCAGACTGATTGTCAGGGCGTTCAAGCAAACTTTCCTGACACTCAGTCACCAAAGGGAGCAATGAACACTGCAGAAAGCTGTATGCTTACATATGTTCAGACTGATTGTCAGGGCGCTCAAGCAAACTTTCCGGTCCAAATCCGCGGTCAACTAACACTCGGTCACCAAAGGGAGCAATTTACCATTCAGAAATCTGTATGCTTAATTAGTTGATTACCATATGCTCAGACTGATCGTCACTGCGATAACTACTTTCCGGTCGAAGTTCGCGGGCTCAGGCTGAGGTCTTGCAACTGTCGGCAGCACAAAAGTGACAATCAGTCAGCAAAGGGTGCCCTGAACAATGCAGAAAGCTGTATTTATGCTTACCGTACGTTCAGACTGATTGTCACCACACTTCAGGCATCGGTCTGCCTGACCTTTGCGCTTCACGTTTGAGGTGGTACCGCTGGCACTTCCACACTACACACCTCAGACAACCGGACCTGTACCTGCAAGACGAACAAATCATTGACTCTTTCAACGTGACCTTGTGGATATCATCCAAAGCCTCTTTCTTCAGGTCCGCCAGTCCCACTGGCCCTCCCTCAGTCACCAGCCTGAGGGCTTGTGCCTCCAGCTCACGAAGTTCTTCACCAGCCGTGAGCTTCGCCTGAAACAGAAACATGTCAAAGTGAGGCTGGTCGCAAAACGCAGAGCCTGCCTGTGCAACTTCAGCCAGCTTCAGTCTTTGGGCTTTGGCTTCTTCGCCGGCCTGGAATGCGGCAGGATACGGGGCTGTTACGCATGTCTATCAAGCAACCTCTAATTTTAACTCATTGTGCGGCCTTGACGATTGCCTCAAGCTCTTTCTGCAGTTCCCCTTCGAACTTGGCTTTCTCAGCCACAAGCTGCAGACTGATTCTCCTCAGTCTTTCGTGCCATGTAACCACGGCGGTGGAAGGCCATTCTGGAGCACATGGTCCATAGCCTACGGCATCAGCCGCCTCAGACTCCATCCAAGACAGCACGAACAATCCACAGCTGACTTTGCCCGGGGTCTGTCTGACTCTCAGGTTGTGCCTGGTCAAGGGGAGCCACTGCTGTGCACGATCATGCAGCAAGGACACCAAAAGCTGCTCAGCCTTCGCCCGTGTGGGCTCATGCAGTTCAGTCAACGAGTCGAAGTATTTGACACGTACATCTGCAGCTCGCTTGTCCACGCACAACAGCGTCCAGTGGTGGCTTGCATAGACGGGAAACAAGACCAGCTTGTCGGTGCTGAGAAGTCGGTGCAGCTCAGTCACCACAGGGCCGTGTTCGGGGTCAGCCTCATATTGCTGGTGCTGCAAGAAAAAATGCGTCAAGACAGGATTGACGCCCACAACAGAATCGTCGCAGCCCAAAGCCCACCCTATGGCTTCCCAACCCATTGCCATGGTTTGGTCTCGCAAACCGCCACGTGGTAGTGTGTCAGGCTGCACAATCTCCACATTGTCCACCTCCTCTGCTCCATCGATGTCCAGCCTCAGGCACCCCATATGTTGAGCAGCATGTCTTGTTTCCTCTCCCGACTGACGCTGAACTGCTTTCGCTTCCAAATTTTTTTGTGTTCGCCAGCAGACAGCAGATGCAGAACACTCCTCGGCACCCACTGGGACTTCCCCTTCTTGAGCGGCAAAAGCAGCCCATCAGTCGCTGTGGCCTTCTGCAAGGTGCCCGTCAGGCCGTAGCAAGATTCTCCCAGCACATCTGACACCACTCGGAAGACTCCTGAAGGAGGAGCCTCATCAGGCAAGGCCACAAGTGCAAACGTAGGAGCCTCCTCAGGCAAGGCCACAGGCGCAGACGCCGGAGCGTCAGGCAATGGCTGTTTAGCCACCTTCAGACGACGAACCTGCTGCCTCAACACGTTCTTCTTCACAGACAGCTTCTGCTTTTTGGCGAACGACAGCTTCTTCTTCTTCTTCTTCTTCTTCTTCTTCTTGTTTTTGGCCTGGTTGCCCTTGCCTGCAAGGGGAACTATAGCTTTCAACACCTCCTTTCGCGAAGTCTTGTGCAGGGCATCTCGCACGGGCTGCCTATCCTCCAGGCTCAGCTCCTTCCTGATCTCAGCCATTTTTTTCCTTTCCTCGCGTCTTTCTTGGGCTTTGCGAGCCTTGACTGACTTCTGAACGGTTTTGAATTCATGGAACAAGGATGAGAGTTCACTTAGCCAACGAACTAACAGTGACTAGCAGACAGCCAAGGAGCTTTTTCAGACTGCAACTCCTTGTTGGCCTTCAGCCACCGTGAGCGGCGCAGGTCCAAAGACAATTGGAAGCCGGCCAGCTGGCTCCACTCAGGCGCCTCCAGCTCCTTGTCGTCAATCGGCAGGACGAGGTCCGTCTTCTCCTTGTCAGACTTGTCAACGAAGTCCCACTCCAGGAGGTCTGCCAGGTCAGCCGCACCCTCGAGCCTGCTCCAGTCAGGCGGTTGGATTGCTTTTGGTCCTGTCCTTGGCTGATTACCCTTTAGCACACATGTGAACGTTCAAGTACATGTACACTTAGTTATAAGTAGCTAGGCTGTTCGGTAACCCACTGGGAAACAGTATTTACTTTCTGAGGCTTCTTTCTTTTATAATCGGGACCCAGAAACCTGAAAATAAAAAAGTATGCCACTGAACAGCCTGGCTAGGGTAAAACGGCTTGGACTCTACAGGCAGGTATTTTGGGGACTGACAACAGCCAAGAATCCAGTGGGTCAGGCGGTTGGTCAGCCAAGCACTGCTTATACGGCTGGAGCCAAGCGGAAGGTCTCTCGCCCACGACTGCTCGTCGCTTCGCACGAAACCATCTTTTGTGGGTCTCAAAGCAAGAAACCCGTTTCGCCGGCAAGACGCCAGCACCCAGCCGTCTCGCTGGTTCTTCTCAGACAGAACTCTCTGAGCTGTCACGATCGCCGTGAGCATATCCTCAGACGACGGTTTCCAGACAGTTGAGCCCTCAGTCTGCTTCTGCCCATTGTAGCGGAGGTTGTCCATGCACTTCAGGCACTCCTTCTTGAAAAGGGAACTGAAATCAGTGTCAGTCACCTGAAGTTGCGAAGTCATCTTTGCGGCCACCACACCTTGCAACTGGTGGGCCGCGAAGCGTGCCTTCCCAGCCTCCTCCGTAAAGGCACTCTTCAGGCAGTCTCGGATCCAGTACGAAGATGCATAGGTCTCAGCCGCTCTGGCGATGCACCAACACATGATGACACTGTCGACCATCGCCGCTGGTTGGGAGTAGACTTCGACCTCAGACATCAGCTCAGGCCGTCTCTGGCGAAGCAGTCGCCACGAGTAGAGCGTTCGCCCCGCACTCATGCCGGCCTTCTGCTGGATAACTTGGCCACCATACTGGAAAGTACGGGTAGTACGCCACAGGCCTCGCTCGTCTATGTTGCTAAGCTCAGCGTGAACACCAGCCACTATAACCATCCCAGGCAGCACAACTCCAACCGGGTCTTTGGACTCGTCGAAGTAGTGCAGGATGCCTTGCCTGGCCTCATACGTCAGGCGGTACCTGTCCCCATCCGGGTCCTTGCGGGTCGTCGGGTGCTTCTTGCCGGTACGAGACAACTCAGCCGGCTGCGGCTGGGCGACCAGAGACAAACGGCCAGGCTCCTCAGACACCGCTTCAAAGTCAGCCAGCAAGTTCCTCGTGGCACTCCTCACCTCAGACTGAGGGCGAGCAGCATGCTCGAACTCTGCGAAGAGCTCCTTGGAGGAAGTCTTCTTCACCTAGACAGGGATTTGGTCAGACATTCCTATGAAAGTCTGCTTCCTGACGGCCATGAACTCAGACGGCTTGGCGAACAACGGCTTCAACTCCTCCTCGTTGCCATACGCAAGCAAACGGAGGTCAGCATCGTGAGCCTGCCATGTCAGCTCTGCTGAGACTCGCTGCTCTATCTCAGACATAGTTGTCTTCAAGTTCGGACACAAGTCCTTGGCCCCAACCCACTCAGCCACCTGACCTGCTTTTGCAAGACCCAGCTTGTCGTTGCTGAGCAAGCGCTTGACTTGCTGCTGAGCCTTCTCTGCCTTTTTCAGCAAAGGTCGCCTGCGTGGGTCCAGTTCGCTCATCTCCATAGCTTCAGCCCTTGCTGCAACACCCAGCTTCTCCACCTCCTCACAAAACCGCCAAAGAAGGTGGCGTTTTAGCACGGTGTGCCCATGGGCACGCTCCATCTCCAAAAAGGTCTTGCAAGCATCGACTGCCTCAGGCCAGTCTTTTTTCCGTCCTCCACCAGGTTGCCTCAGCCTCGGCTTTGCATGCCCGCGCTTGCCATGCTTCAGGCCAGCTTCTTTGTGGCAGACAGAAGCACTCGTGCTGAGGTTCAACTTCTTCACTGTAGCAGCCCAGGCATCCTTCAGGCTGTACATTTCTTTGAGCTTGTCCAAGGACATGTCAAAAGCTGCCGCAAAGTGCCGAAAGAACTCAGGCATCGATGCAAAACCAGCCACCTGCGACAAAATCTGCTGGCACATTTTGTCCTTGACAGCAACAGGTATCTCCTGTCGCAACAAGGTCTGCCCAGCATATCTTCGGTTGCTGCTTTTGCCACCTGCCGTGCCTCGCAGCTCCTCCGGATTCTTGCGTGGCCGGCCGGATGTCATGGATGCTTTCAGCCGTTTGGCCAGAGGTTCCATGCTCAGGCTGGCATCGCTCTCCACCTTCAAAACTCCATCAGTCACAAGCTTCTGCAGCGTGTCCTGTATTCGGTGCTCAGTCGTCCTGCGGTCCCTCTTTCCGGAAAAGAGCGTAGCTTCAAGCACCGGTTTGTCCTTGTCGCTTGGACTCCAGAACCTGCCAAGCCCATACTGCACCGTTTTCTTGGCACTGGGGGTCTCGGACGGCGAAGCTTTGTCAGGCGAGGCCGACGTAGCTGAAGCTTTCCGAGGAGTTCTCGCATTATCTGAACTCATGCAACTCTCACGTCCTGGGGACAGGCTTTCTCCTCTGCCACCTCCTCTCAACAGGACCTGGCGACCAGGATAATTAGGGGCAAAGCATGAGTTGAGATTGCGAGAAAGCGACCACTCATACATCGGTGGCACGGACAGAACCTCAATTACATCTGCGAGCCTTCTGTTCTTCTCTTCTTGGCAGTCTTTCGCAGCGCCCCTGTCTCTGCTCATCCTCCTTGACTTCAGGGCCTGGTCAGCTCCGGATTGCGTGACAAAGGAATCCCATGCCTCTCAGGCATCTCGGGAAGAGTTCTTGACCACCTCCACATCCTCCCAAGACGACCTGGTGAAACAAAACAAAATTGGACAGTACGACTCAACATCTCCTCCCTTATCCAAGGCTGGAGCCTCAGGCATCGGCTCCTCGATTTCAGAGCCTGCAAAGGTCCGTATGCGTAGCTAATTAAGGATCGTGAAAGAGAACTCGCATGCCTCTCAAACATGTTGGGAAGAGCTCTTCTTCCCCGCGTCCACATCCTCCCAAGACGACCTGGCGAATCAAAACCAATTTTCACGTGGATACTGCGACTGACCATCTCCTCCCGTGTCCAAGGCTGGAGCCTCCGGCATCGGCTCCTCGATTTCAGAGCCTGCAAAGGTCCGTATTGCGTAGCTAATTAAGGATCGTGACAAAGAATTCGCATGCCTCTCAGGCATCTCGGGAAGAGCTCTTCACCGCCTCCACGTCCTCCCAAGGCGACCTGGCAAAACAAAACAAAAGTGGACAGCACGACTCAACATCTCCTCCCGTGTTCAAGGCTCCAGCCTGAGGAATCGCCTCCTTGATTTCAGGGCCTGCTGAGGCGCGGACTGCTGAGCAAGGGATCGTGACAAAGAATTCGCATGCCTCTCAGACATGTCGAGAAAAGTTCTCGACCACCTTTGCGTCCTCCCAGAACGACCTGGCGAAGCAAAACTACGTTTCACTTGGACAGTGCAACTCAACACCCCCTCCCGTGCCCAAGGCTGGAGCCTCAGGCTTCGGCTTCTTGATTTCATGGCCTGCTCAGGTCGGGATTGCGGAGCACAGGGTCGTGAAAGAGACTTCGCATGACTCTCAGACATGTCGAGAAGTGCTGTTTCTGACGCAGCATCCGGTGCATGAACACTCAGCCACCGCATAATGAGAACAGACATCAGACTTTGATGCCCGGCGTGAAGCTGTACCATGTGCATTCTCATACGGCTGCAACGATACCCCGCCGCGGACGGCTAAGCAGGCATCGCAAAAGCTGAGAGACACGATCGCCTCGCACTTTCTAGAGCTCGCAGAAAAGCTTCGACACTCCGAGGAGCAGTTCCACTAATCCATGTAGTCCAAATTATCAACCTTTCCAATCTGCAAAGCGTACGCACTGTCAAGCATGGAATTTGCAAAGTCTTCATCGATATCATACGCGCGGCAGATGAAGGGAATGCGCTGTTGTGGCTGTAGCAAGACCCAGGCATCCATCCAGATAATGTATGGAGCCTCTCTAAGCCAGCTAGAACCATAGAGATTTTGCAGCGATGTTTTGGAGGCTGGTGGTAGCGTTCTCCACTTAGCACACAAAACCTCCATAGAAAGATCTGAAATACGCTTGTGCAACAGATCCTGATTCCACCAGACAGTCCTGGATATTTTGTTTTGCCCATGCAATGGGCACCGCTCCATGGCTGTGGCACCTTTTCCGTGGGCATGAGCCCTGTCCCTGAACGAAGAAAGAAAAGCCCAACCCACACCAAACCAAGCCCGCAAGCCAGCAACACTACAACGGCCCTGGTCGCAGTCAGCTAATTATCCTTTGGTTCAGCCGAGATGCTTGACGACAAGACATGTCTCCGAAGCGACACATCCGAGACTGCAGTAGAGACTCAATTAATTATTTAATTGCCATGCCTCTCGGTCTCGGACATGTCGCTGAAGGGTTTCCGCAGGCTTTGCATCCTTTCAGCCGGACCTGTCGACGAAGTCTGGCGAAACCGTTCAGCGCATCTATGTGTCCAACTTCAATCAACTAAATATACCAGGCCTTGCGGGCTTGTCGCATCTCTTTGTGGCACTGGTCTGTGGCCCTCTGCTCCTCCCTTTCAAGCTCAGGCCAGGAGAACCAACGGTCATCCAAGGTTGGAGCTTTTGCTTCGGGAAGCGGGACACTGTGTTGCACAGCGTGGAAAGAGGAGGCAGAAATGTTGGAAAGAAGCATTGGGGCTCGACTGAAAACACAGCTTCAAAGTATAAACTTGCCAAGCATGGCCTGGCGGTGCATACCTGGTATTCGACCTGCACGGTTTCCGCGGGCTTTGCATCCTTTCAGCCGGACCTGTCGACGAAGTCTGGCGAAACCGTTCAGCGCATCTATGTGTCCAACTTCAATCAACTAAATATACCAGGCCTTGCGGTCTTTTCGCATCTCTTTGTGGCACTGGTCTCCGGCCCTCTGCTCCTCCCTTTCAAGCTCAGGCCAGGAGAACCAACGGTCATCCAAGGTTGGAACTTTTGCTTCTGGAAGCGGGACACTGTGTGCCACAGCCTGGAAAGAGGAGGCAAAAATGTTGGAAAGAAGCATTGGGGCTCGACTGAAAACACAGCTTCAAAGTATAAACTTGCCAAGCATGGCCTGCCGGTGCATAGCTGGTATTCGACCTGCACGGTTTCCGCCGGCTTTGCATCCTTTCAGCCGGACCTGTCGACGAAGTCTGGCGAAACCGTTCAGCGCATCTATGTGTCCAACTTCAATCAACTAAATATACCAGGCCTTGCGGTCTTTTCGCATCTCTTTGTGGCACTGGTCCCTGGCCCTCTGCTCCTCCCTTTCAAGCTCAGGCCAGGAGAACCAACGGTCATCCAAGGTTGGAGCTTTTGCTTCTGGAAGCGGGACACTGTGTGCCACAGCCTGGAAAGAGGAGGCAAAAATGTTGGAAAGAAGCATTGGGGCTCGACTGAAAACACAGCTTCAAAGTATAAACTTGCCAAGCATGGCCTGGCGGTGCATACCTGGTATTCGACCTGCACGGTTTCCGCGGGCTTTGCATCCTTTCAGCCGGACCTGTCGACGAAGTCTGGCGAAACCGTTCATCGCATCTATGTGTCCAACTTCAATCAACTAAATATACCAGGCCTTGCGGTCTTTTCGCATCTCTTTGTGGCACTGGTCTCCGGCCCTCTGCTCCTCCCTTTCAAGCTCAGGCCAGGAGAACCAACGGTCATCCAAGGTTGGAGCTTTTGCTTCGGGAAGCGGGACACTGTGTGCCACAGCCTGGAAAGAGGAGGCAAAAATGTTGGAAAGAAGCATTGGGGCTCGACTGAAAACACACCTTCAAAGTATAAACTTGCCAAGCATGGCCTGCCGGTGCATACCTGGTATTCGACCTGCAGCCGCTTTCTTCTTCTGCAGAAGCCATCGGAGCTTCAGGCGGAGGTCCTGTCAAATGATTATTCCCAGGCTCACGACTTGCTCAATGTTGGAATCTGGAATGAACACCGACACGGTATCAACCTAATGAATTATGGAACTTGTTGAAGAATGAGTCACCAAATTTTATGCATGAGTGAAAGAATCAGGCTCCTCTCCCTTAATTATCCAGCTCTGAAACAAGATCCCCTCCTCTCGGTGCTCTTTGAGCTCCGACATTGACCATCCTGGCATGAGGATCATGCGGCAGGTAATTGCTTAATTTTTGGGCGCAGTGAGTGACTGCTACGGCAGTAGCCTCCAGGAATCACCCCGGGGCACTGCTCCAAAACCCGCCTGGCGTTACTGCAGGCGACATAATTAACTAATTATGTGGAAACTGAGGTCACCACGGCAGCAAAGGCCGGGGCTGCTTCGGGTCACCACTCAGGTCAGCCTGTCCGGAGTTCTAAATAACTCGCAGCAAGCAAACCGTACATATGAGGACATGTATACGGCTGTAGAATTGCAATGAATACAACGAACTGCATCAAATTGAACGTTAGATGTATACATACATACCTACATACCAAATTACATACATACATACCTAGACATAATTACATAGCAGCAGCAGCAGCAGCAGCAGCAACAGCAGCAGCATGCGACGGGTGCGAGGGCGGTGGTGATTTCTGGCACGGACGGTGGCAGCAGCAGTGGCGTGGATGGTGTGAAGTGCAGCTGTGGATGGGCCTCCCAATACCAGGAAAACTCGGAGAACATGCAGCTTCCCCACACATTCCGGTCTGCCAGCAGACACATTAGCCCATTTGTTCTGCTGTCATACACCGGAGCCCGCGGTGCGTTGGCCCCAACAGACCGACCGATACAGATCCGAGAATTTTCCACCCCCCACACCCGGCCCAGCGGTGTGAAAGGACCTGCATTACGGGCTCGCAGTATCCTTCTGGTAAGAGGCAAGTGGGTGGTGGTGGCGGGTGGTGTGGTGGGGGGGTGGTGGTGTGGTGGTGTGGTGGGGGGTCTGGTGAGGGCCGGTTGTTCTGCGGCAGTGCTAGTACTGGTAGTGGTGGCAGCGGCGGCGGTGGTAGTAGCAGGAGCAGTCGCAATAGTAGTAGTAGTAGTAGTAGTAGTAGTAGTAGTAGTAGTAGTAGTAGTAGTAGTAGTAGTAGTAGTAGTAGTAGTAGTAGTAGTAGTAGTAGTAGTAGTAGTAGTAGTAGTAGTAGTAGTAATTAGTAGTAGTACTAGAAGTAGTAGTAATTAGTAGTAGTAGTAGTAGTAGTAGTAGTAGTAGTAGTAGTAGTAGTAGTAGTAGTAGTAGTAGTAGTAGTAGTAGTAGTAGTAGTAATTGGTAGTAGCAGTAGTATCGTAGTAATTAGTCGTCGTCCTAATCGTGGGAGTGGGGAGCAACTAATTAGTTAGTTAGGAATACGAGCAATTCGATTCATTCAAGGATTCGTCGTCCTAATCGTAGGAGTAGGCAGTCATTAATTAGTTAGGAATACGAGCAAGTCAAGTTATGAACGGATTCCTAGCGGCATGCTGCTGAAACAGCAAAGACAAGAAAGAGCCTCGAAGATGCGAAGCTTCCTGTTCAGACCACAAAGGCCGGAAGCTTTGGACGAGGTCACGGCCTGTAACATGTTTGAGTTTATGAGCTCGGGCTGCTTTGACACACGCAAACACACAAAGAGGCAGAACAGAGCAACTTGTGGTGCACATCCTGAGTGACTGGCGTCCGGGGTCTCAGCCCAGCATCCTCCACAGTTGGTCTTGCTTACGTTTTTCGATCACTGAATTGTTGGGTGTAGGGGTTAATTAAGTAGTGTTCAGGGTTTAATTAAGGTTTATTTGTGTGAACAAACCACTGGGCGAGCCTGGAAGATGCATCATCGAATTTCCAACAGCCATGCAGCGGCTGGGGGGGCACCACCTCAGCTGCGAACAGAGGGTAACGAAAGCGAGGATGGAGATTCGAGTGAGCGGGAAAGCCGCACAGGCAGCACAGACGGCTTCTTGTTTTTTACCCGCAGCATGAAACAGGCTCCACAAAGCTCTCATCGAGTGCCTCGGTGGGAACCACTTCAGAATAATTAGGGACAGTCCGACGCACCATGACCACAGGCTGAGAGTGGGACACCACGTGTGTCCCCGGCAGCCAACAGGAAGAGCTACCTGGCAGACAGCGGCACACTTCAGATTGCTGGACTAAGTAATTACTGCTGCTCCAGTTTGCCGGGGTTCCAGCCACAGGACTGGATCAGGCACAAGATGCTTCGAGTGCCTGAGTGATTGGCGCATGAGTGCATGTTGCAAATCACAAATTCGACATCAAACAGCGAGTCGACAGTGGAAACGCAACTTGTAGCCTTTCTTCCTGCCCTTGCAGCTTAGCCGGTAAGGCACTGTACGTGCAGTTGCAGCTGATATTCTGGACCGCAGGAAAAGCCAGGAGCATGGCGGCGGCAACATGCATGAGATGATCTCATGCACTGGTAGTTCAGGCTGCATATGACTGCAGCAAGCAGTGTTGATTCCGGCTTCAGCCAGCTGAAGTATTCCGGCTTCAGACAGCTGAACAGCTGAAGCTTTGCAGCTTTGCTTCATGCAGAAGAAGCTGTGCTCGCACTCCAGGCCATGAACGGCTCACTGGGCATGCATCTCAAGCTCTGCTCGCACCCTGGGGATGAAGGCCTCCATATCCTCCCACGACATGATCGCCTTAGGGTTGATGTCGGGGAAGATCAGGCGGAGCTTTTGGAGCAGGTGGTAGGCATCAGACCCGAAGCGAAGAAGCCACCACACCAAATCTTGCTCAGTCGCATAGTTGTTGAGCTGCACTGGGCGGTTCATGCGGTTCTCGTCGAGGGCCCAGCGAGCGTATGCAATTTCGCAATACTTCGCTGCAGTGGCAGGGCCAAATGGCATGCTGGTCAAACTCCGGATTGCCAACACACCGCCCTTGACCCCTAGCGCGGGCACGACAGCCTTCTTTTCGGCATCATGCCACATGTCATGCCAGGCATCCAGCTTAAGGGCATCCTCTGTTCCAGCCATGCTCCAAATGTCGTTGAGCAACAAGTCAAAGGAGCGTTGGTGCCACCTGTTCCATTGGTAGTGCCTGCTCAGGCGTTCCATGTCGAGCAGCAAATCGATCAGACACGTGGACATGGCTTTCAGGCAAGGCGAGCACTGCTACAGTAGAACCCCAAAGTGCCCGGGTGCCACAGTTACATTCAGGCATAAATTAGAGGTATCCCCAGCTGGCTCTTCAGACCGACTTCTGCGATCTTACCGAAGGATGGACGAAAGTCAGGCACCCGAACCCAGAGTCTGCAGAAGCCCAAAAGTTGGAGACAATCTAGCCTCAATCCTTAATTAAGAGGAATGTACAGGCAATTCCAGCGTTGTTTGACCTTAATCGGGTTTGCAACTCCATGGGGTTCCCAAAACTGCAAAAATGCTGCGGCGGAGTTCAACGTTTCAAGCGAAAGATTCCCAGACCCAGTGCAGTCCCTGTTCCCGGGCCCTATCACAGTGGCCTAATTAAGGGGATTTCAAGGGGAAGGTTTCGAGCGTTCGGAGGAAGGGTTGCGGGCAGAACAGCGGCACTCCGACATACCACGAGAAGAAGCTGAGACTGGTACACAACGTGTGTCCCCGGCAGCCGACAGGGAGAGCTACCTGGCACACAGCGGCACACTTCAGATTGCTGGACTACGTAATTACTGCTGCTCCAGTCTGATGGGGTCCCAGCCAGAGGACTGGATACGTGACTTGCCATGAAGCCGGAACAATAACCCAGAGGATGCACCACGAGAAGAGGCTGAGACTGGGACACAACGGGTGTCCCCGCTGCCAACAGGAAGAGGTACCTGGCACACAGCGGCACACTTCAGATTGCTGGACTAAATAGTTACTGCTGCTCCAGTCTGATGGGGTTCCAGCCAGAGGACTGGATACGTGACCTGCCATGCAGCCAGAACAATAACCCAGAGAATGCAGCAAGCACGACAAGAGGCTGAGACTGGGACACCCGTTACCTGGCACACAGCGGCACACTTCAGATTCCTGGACTAAGTCATTACTGCTGAACGAGTCTGCTGGGGTTCCAGCCAGAGGACTGGATCAGGCACAACTCACCTCCCATCAAGCCGGAACGACAGCAAGCATTGACGGCTCTCCTCATGAATCTGTCAGTCAGAAGGCTAATACGGCGACCTTTTTTTGTCAGGCCCGCATCAGGGAGTGGCTGACATCAGGCTTGCAGAGGCTGACAGTACACGTCCTATCCTCTGTGCACTTTCCACGAGTACATAGCAACACTAGTCAGTCCGGCCATGTTGCCTGAGCACACAGTCTGAATTAATGAGGTTTTGAGAATCAATGAAGTAAGTAGTTTCTCACAGGATCCCTTGCAATGTAGAACAATATCAGACAGGCCCAGTATGCACTGGTGAGGAAGAGCAGAGGCTGACAGTGCACGTCCTATCCTCTGTGCACTTTCCAGGAGTGCATAGCAAAACCACTCAGTCTGATCATGTGGCCCCAGCACTGAGTCTTAAGAAAGCTCTGCGAACCAAATATTTAGTTAAGTAGTTACTCACAGGATCCCTTGCAATGTTGAACAATATCAGACCGGCTGAGTATGCACTCGTGAAGAAGACCCTCAGGTCGGACATCAGGCAAGCTGCACCGCCTCACCGGGTTTGACAGTGATGTCCCTGGCACACAGCAACCTGACTGGCAGCAGTTCGTGGGTCAACGAAGACAAGCAGCAGAACCAAGAAATCAGACAAACGGACTTGGGACCAGGACCATAAGGACACCAAATGAATTAGTAGGACGAAGCTGCCATGCGTTCACATCGCCCGATGCCAAACTCTCCGTTGGAGAGTAAGGTGCCAGAATGCCTCAGGTCATGGCATTGCGCAAAACTCAGGAGCTTCGGCATCCTTGAAGTGTTCCTGGACACATGGCGTATCCTGGGAAAGTCCAAGCTTCGGCGCGTTCCGAACTCGGCCTCGTCAATGCCGGGGTTCAGGTCCCACATGCTGCCTGCTTACAGGAAGGTCCAGCATGGTTGTATATGGTTGTAAGACCAGTAACTCAAGAGGTATGTGAAAGGAAGCAAGCCAAGACACAGAAATTTGTTGTTTTTTTTGGACTCCATGGTCCAGAAGAGCTGCCCCAGACGATTCAGCCGGACGCTTTTCTCCTCCGCTGTGAACTTTTTCATTTCCTCCACCGTGAAGCTGAGGGGGCTCAGGCGTTCGGTGGCAATCAAAGTACCCGCAGGGCTGATGCTCAAAGCACCATTGGCCTTGATTGTCGTCTTGTGTCCGTACATCAAAGCCAAGGCCTGCGGGACAAAAGACATGCGATGAGAGGCATGTGTCTTTGCTGAGTTGACATGCGCCAGAGCGAAGGAAAACAGATGAGTGAAGCGGCCTTGTTGGCAGAGTCCACGACGATCTCGTTCTTCTTGAGGGTCTGCGTCACCGTCAAGAAATAGGGGTCGCCGTCCAGGAGGAAGCCGAGGATATTGTTCATGCCGGTCACTTCAAAGGGCAAACAAAAGCCATCCGTGTCGGCTTCTTCGACGATGGCGAGCTGGCCCAGCGGCACCACAGGGCTTCTTTTCTTCATCTGGAGCGGATCAGCCGTTGGGTTTGCTAGCCAGAGCTGCCAGCCAGAACCATCGCCCTCAGACCTTTGAACGATAACGGTCTTCAACGGGGCGGGGTCGTCTTCGTCCTCATAGGCAGAAGCCTCGAAATAAGGCAGAGCCATGAGCTCAGACACGGGCATGCATGGCAAAACCGGCTGTGTAGCCGGTTTCTTCTCAGTCTTCTCTTTCTCAGTCTCGCCAAAGCGTGGGCCGAGTCTTGCTGCCTCACGTTGCAGCACCTCCAAGGCTTCCAAGACGCTGTCCCGCTGCAGCTTGAAATTTTTCGGGGCGGGCACCGTCAGACTGCCATCTTTGTTCTTCACCTTGAGGATCTTCAGCTGGCGGTTCACTTCAGCCACCAGGTTCTGCCAGACCGGCTCGGGTTTGTCATCCTGCAAGACGGGAGGGGCGGCATAGCCGAGCTCGGAAGCACTCAGCCTCTCATAGATTTCGGATTGGGCTCGGATGCTTGCAAATCCGACTGCATGTTCCCGCGTGTCGAAGCCGACGTACTTCATGGGTATGTCAGGCATTCCATCAAGAGGCACCTCGTCATCATCCATGTCGTAGCGGTCAGGCAGTTCGATGTGCATCTGCTCAGCCACCATGGCCAGGAGCCAGTCGCCTTGGGCGCAACAGAGGTCAACCACGATCAGGCCTGCCTTGTGCAGCTTTTGCCGCACGAGAGAAATCAGGATGTGTCCACAGATGCCGGGTCCCTTCTGAAGCCGCTGGCCCTCATTCACACCGTTCCTGGCGACACTGGTGGGTCCGCACTGCTCCTTGCGCATGTTCCGGGTGGCCTCCTTGCTGAACTTGACGACCTTGTCGGGTCGCTGCAGCACGCCGACCCCACGGGACGCCAAGCATGTGCCATCTAGCCAGCTCATGCCCTTGATCGGCTGCACAAGAAGCCCGTCCATCGTCAGCCGGCCCTGCAGTGGCATGTTGAACAGCAGTGTGAACGGCAGCTCGAAGTGCTTGTTCACACCGTCGCCAAAGGTCTCAGACAGCTGCTTGCTCAGCACTTTTCGGTGCTCAGCCAGCATCGTCTGCTTCTCAGGCAACGTCAGGCGAACATTGCCTTCGGCACGGACGGCAGGGAGTGAGTGGTCGCCGTCCTGCTCCTCAGGCTCGCAATCGCTCTCCTCCGCCTCGTCCGCGTCCACCTGCATGGAGCTTGGCATCTGCACGGTCTTCTCGGTCTTGCGTCGGCGGGGCGGCACATCCGTGAACAGCAGAAGTTTCGCCGCTTCAGGGATGCTTGCCATGGTGTCGCAAAACGTGCGTTCCAGGTCGCAATGCGGTACGTGCCCTTGTAGGTCAGCCACGACAAGCACGGCAGCATCTGCCATTTCTCCCGACAAGACTCCTCGGACCTGCGAGGGCACCCTCGTGGCATAGCATTCCTTGCTGAGGTGGTCCACAGTGGCCAGAGAGCCTAGCCGCCGCCCGGCCTCCTTCCACAATATGTTGTGGCGTTCCTGCAGGCTTAAAGAAGCACAGCACATGTAAAGCAATTAAGCAGAAGTCTGCGAGGTCGCGAAACATGAAAAAGTCCTTCTGCCAGGATTGCTGGCTATCTCTCCACTCATCCATGGTCACGGCAGACGTACAGTGCCAAGCCTGGCGGCAAAGCATTCGTCTTTGACTGGGCGGAGTAATTGTGGGCAATTTGAAAAAAAGAAAGCAAGCACATGCCTCGTAGATCTCCCAATCATGCTTGAGGTTCGCGAGGCAGAGCTTTTCCTCAGCCTCCTGCACAGCTTCCTGTTCCGCGGTTTCTTTCTCCTTTTCTGCTTCGGCGTTCTCAGCCATCTCCTCTTTTTTCTTACCTGTAAGCATCTCATCAACCAAGGGGACGTACTTGGCAACGAGGGCGGCAGCATCGGACTTGTGGTTTAAACTGACTCAGGGAACCCCTTTGTTGGTCCTCCTTGACAGGCATGGTGGCCAGGTCGTCCAGGCGAGCACTCAGGCGACCGGCCTCGAAGTTCTCCAAGAGCTTCTCTCCGAAGTCAGTGGAAATCGGATCCAGCACTGTCCTCGCAATGCTGAAGACAATGCAAACTCTGGAGACGAAGCTGGAGATCAGGCTGGTCGGGATGGGCTTGTCCAAGTCGCAGCCCGGCACACGTCCCGACTGAATTCTCTGCAGGATGTAAAAAGAGGTCTCAGTCGTGGCCTTGTACAATTGTTCCATCTCTTCGTGTGCCACGTCACGCCTGACATTTGCCAAACGAGCAGGGGACATCACACAAGCGTCAGACAGAAAGGATACATCAGGAGAGGAGATTTGAGGAGGCAAAGTCTGAGGGCTGGACGCACTCAAACCCACGAAGAAGCCGCGAGTCTCCAGGAGGTGGTCGTTCCAGTAAGCGGAACGGGAGACTTGCAGGACCCGATGCCAAACCTGGGCACACAGACGGTGTGACTTTGATGTAATAGTTTTGAGACACCCGGCTCCTCAGGCATATGCTTGGCGGAAAGGGAGTGTCGCAGGGCCCATTCTTGCCGCGGTTTGACCTGAGACTTCGGCATGAACGAGGCTTTGTTGTTGAAGGCCTTAATGATGGCCCTGATCTCCCGCATGACGGAGTCCGAAGCCAAGTCGGTGTCCTTGTCAGGCGAGATCTTGGCAAGCCTGGCTTCCAAGGATCTTCGTAGCGTGGAAGCAATCATAACAAGGGTCAGGCGCCGGTTGTACTGCGACGCCTTCAACGTCTTGTGCAGTGCATTCACAGTGCGGTCCTGCGGTGTCTGCCCCTTGCCTCTGGTGGGGCAAACAACGGGCACCTGCGACAGGATCTCAGTCACGGACGCCGGCAACTCTTTCGCCTTCGCAGAGAAGGTCAAGCAGACCAGGGCGATGAGGCCGAGGCTGCCCAGCATCAAACTGTTCACAAATGCACCTCCGGCTGCATAGCCCAATAACATCTTATCGCGAGGATTCAAAGCATCGTCGCCCTTGCCCTCGAGGGTTTCAATCTCCAGTATCTGGGAACAATGTCCAGACAGGATGTCTTGAGCAAAGGGCACACAATCAGACACCGTCACCTCAAAACCTGGGAGGGCACACAAACGAAGTCATAATGGCCATCAGTACTTAGGAAGCATCATGCACTCGGCAGCACGACAAGTTAATTCCCGGACAAGGCACCATATCCTCGCTCAGTCAGAAAATTGAGCATACAGATGTGGACGTGCCCTTTGGTCGGTCTCACTGCATCAGGCGAGGAAGATTGGAAATGGGCCATGCAGGTGGTTTTCCCGTTGGAGGTTCCCACCAAGGCGGAAAGATGCTCAAGCAGCTTGCCGACCCTTTCCTCCTGGATCTCCTTGCCCAGAATCTCCTTGCGGGGAGAAATCCTCAACAGCTGCTTTCTTGGCTGCCGGTTCAGCCGTCTCATCCGACTCGGCAGGGCGTTTCATGGCTCCGGCAAATATGGTTCTTTGCTGACGTCCCTAGTCATGCCGGCCTCCGGCACTGTTGCACACATGCACAATCTAGTCCTTTACTATGATCAAGTAGCTTGAAATGCAGTGCCATGATTAGTGCTGGTCGCTGGCCGATCGTTTGGCGTACGAGGAACATGCAGGCAACCTCTCCCCAGTTAGAGGTTGCTTGAGAAAAAAACTGAAGCACGAGCCATCATCTCTGTGTGCATGGTCCAGGAAAGGTCTGGCAACGAAGAGACATTGAGACAGGCAGCAAGCAAACTTGTCAGTGTGGCCTTGGCCCACGTATTTGGCCGGCAAAATCTCAAAGACCTGGTCAGGAGCTGGGGTGATTGCCTGGGACCCCTTCGTGGTCGTTTTAGGTTCGTTGGACCACGCTCAAGAGTACAAGGGGCAACACAACCACGACGACGGACGGGATCGCTCGTGGTCGACTGAGTGTTTGTCCTCTTGGCCGTGGTCCTTTTTGGTCCTTTCGACCACGCCCCTCGATCGGCCGAGATCCGACCGACACCTGCCGGGCAAATCAATTGCAGGCGGCTGTTCTTATTAAAGGAACACAGCCTCAGCCAAACAGAGGTGTGGAAGACCACGCCCCTCGATCGGCCGAGATCCGACCGACACCTGCCGGGCAAATCAATTGCAGGCGGCTGTTCTTATTCCGAAAGCATCGCGAAGGGTTCTTCCGTGTGGAACGCCGCAGCTGAGTACATAGATGACAGACATAGAATCAACTTACTTGACTCCATACTTTACTTCACTCTACACTTGATACTTGACTCTACACTTGATACTTACTTACTTACTTGACCTCTATGACTGACTCTCTACACTTGACACTTGACTCTATGTGATACTTGACTCTACACTTGATACTTGACTCTATGTTATGCTTACGACTTACTTACTTACTTTCTTTCTTCACTCTACTTACTTACTTCACTCTACTTTCTTACTTACTTGACACTTGACACTGGACTCTATGTTATGCTATCTCTATACTTACTTATACTTACTTACTTACTTACTTACTTGACTCTATGCCTCTATGACTTACTCTCTACATCTCGGTATCTAATTCTCTCTTCTAAAGCCAGGGGTGGCACCGTTGTCGTCCATCGGGAATGCAACCCTTCCCAGGGATTCGCCTCCTCGGGCGTTCAAACGCGAGGTAAAGTTACACATTTTAGGGTTCCCGCGCAACCCTTCCCAGGGATTCGCTGCCTCGGGCGTTCAAACGCGAGGTAAAGTTACACATTTTAGGCGCCCGGGTGAACCCTTCACAGGGATTCGCCTCCTCGGGCGTTCAAACGCGAGGTAGTTACACATTTTGCGGTTCCCGTGCAACCCTTCACAGGGTTTGGAACTCTCGGGCGTTCAAACGCGAGGTAAAGTTACACATTTTAGGCGCGCGGGTGAACCCTTCACAGGGATTCGCCTCCTCGGGCGTTCAAACGCGAGGTAAAGTTACACATTTTTCGCGCGCCGCGCAACCCTTCACAGGGATTCGCCTCCTCGGGCGTTCAAACGCGTGGTAAAGTTACACATTTTTCGCGCGCCGCGCAACCCTTCACAGGGATTCGCCTCCTCGGGCGTTCAAACGCGAGGTAAAGTTACACATTTTTCGCGCGCCGCGCAACCCTTCACAGGGTTTGGGCGCAGCTCAACTGCATTTTGCAACCCCTCACAGGGATTGGCATTTTGCGACCCCTCACAGGGATTGGCATGGTCGAATGCACGAACGCGAGGTAAAGTCGCATTTTTTTATGTGCATTGAAATGATTTTTGCAACCCTTCACAGGGATTGGCGTGGTCGAGTGTTCGAACGCGAGGTAAAGTTGCATTTTTTGATGTGCATTGAGCTGAATTGTGCAACCCTTCACAGGGATTGGCGTGGTGGAGTGTTAGAACGCGAAGTAAAGTTGCAATTTTTTGATGAGCATTGAGATGAATTTTGCAACCCCTCACAGGGATAGGCGTGGTCGAGTGTTCGAATGCGAGGTAAAGTTGCAATTTTTGATGAGCATTCAGATAAATTGGGCGAACCATCAACGGCAACTTCAAGTGCTCGCATTGGTACATTGGTGCGGCGGAAGCGTAGTGATTCCCAATGCCTCGGTTCATCTCCTGGCCGCGACATCCTGTGAGCAGATAAAGGTTCATCGAGACGCAGGAGCTCCTCGATTGCTTGGCGGGTTAAATACTTCGCGCCATCTGGCGGGTTTCCTAGTGAAGTGGGGTGTTTCACTTCGGAACGGTGTCTTCCCAAATCCCTAATGGCTGCACTGCCTTCCGCTGCTGGACTCCCGGCGGCACGAGTCGCGCAGCGGCTCAGCGAGGTGGACCCGTTTGTGGTATAGGATAGATCTTAAAGCCCCAATCATCCTTTGAGAGACCCGTGTTGTGACTGCCGCTTGGGAATGTTTGCCAGATGCCGCCGGGTTTCTTCTTCTGAGATAGTATACCAAGGGTTGATACACAGGGTGTCACCGAAGCCTGGAGCTCTCGATGAATGTCTGCAGCTAGAATCAATCTTTCTAGAGGAGGCTCTGGACCACCGTGATCCCTGCATTAGTCCTACTAGGCCCTCGTGGATTATCCGGTGTGGATAGACACGAAATAAGGACCCCTAAGCCCGTGGCGTTCCCCTGGAGTCTGTTGGGTCGGCTAAGAAACATACGCTGGCCTCTTGTGGTTTAAGATGAAGAGCGAAACCCTAATTCCCTGCTACTTTCAGAGACCAGTGTTGCGACTTCCGTTTGGGGATGTTCGTCAGCTGCCGCTATGTTTCTTCTTCCATGATACTATACCTTGGGTTGGTATAATGCGTGCTATGGAGGCTCGGGGCTCCCGATGAACCTTTGCAACTACAATCAGCCGTTTTCACGAGGCTCCGGACCACCGTAATCCCTGGGATGACCTCTCCCGGCACCTCCTCAGGCCGCGCGGCCCTTGACTCCACGCTGAGCCGTGCGGGCTGTGAATTCTTCGCTCTGGCTAGGTTGCACCGTTGCTTGCTTGCTTCGACGCTGTCTTGCGAAAGAGCGAGCAAGCAACGTGGCGCCTACTCTCACTGTAACTCTATGACTTTATGACTCATGACTCATGGACTCCATGACTCTTGACTGTATGTGCCTCTCGAGGTCCAGGTCGGGCTATGAGCCCTCACGCTACGGGGATCTCGATTAAGCGTTCCCACACATAGAGCATAGAGTGAACTACATCGAGTCAAGTGCATGGTACATAGATGACTCCATGACTCTGCGACTTGATCTCACTATGACTCTATGACGCTATCTCACTGTAACTCTATGACTTTATGACTCATGACTCATAGACTCCATGACTCTTGACTGTATCTGCATCTCGAGGTCCAGGTCGGGCTATGAGCCCCCACGCTACGGGGATCTCGATTAAGCGTTCCCACACATAGAGCATAGAGTGAACTACATCGAGTCAAGTGCATGGTACATAGATGACTCCATGACTCGTGACTTGATCTCACTATGACTCTATGACGCTATCTCACTGTAACTCTATGACTTTATGACTCATGACTCATGGACTCCATGACTCTTGACTGTATGTGCCTCTCGAGGTCCAGGTCGGGCTATGAGCCCTCACGCTATGGGGATCTCGATTAAGCGTTCCCACACATAGAGCATAGAGTGAACTACATCGAGTCAAGTGCATGGTACATAGATGACTCCATGACTCTGCGACTTGATCTCACTATGACTCTATGACGCTATCTCACTGTAACTCTATGACTTTATGACTCATGACTCATAGACTCCATGACTCTTGACTGTATCTGCATCTCGAGGTCCAGGTCGGGCTATGAGCCCCCACGCTACGGGGATCTCGATTAAGCGTTCCCACACATAGAGCATAGAGTGAACTACATCGAGTCAAGTGCATGGTACATAGATGACTCCATGACTCGTGACTTGATCTCACTATGACTCTATGACGCTATCTCACTGTAACTCTATGACTTTATGACTCATGACTCATGGACTCCATGACTCTTGACTGTATGTGCCTCTCGAGGTCCAGGTCGGGCTATGAGCCCTCACGCTATGGGGATCTCGATTAAGCGTTCCCACACATAGAGCATAGAGTGAACTACATCGAGTCAAGTGCATGGTACATAGATGACTCCATGACTCTGCGACTTGATCTCACTATGACTCTATGACGCTATCTCACTGTAACTCTATGACTTTATGACTCATGACTCATAGACTCCATGACTCTTGACTGTATCTGCATCTCGAGGTCCAGGTCGGGCTATGAGCCCCCACGCTACGGGGATCTCGATTAAGCGTTCCCACACATAGAGCATAGAGTGAACTACATCGAGTCAAGTGCATGGTACATAGATGACTCCATGACTCGTGACTTGATCTCACTATGACTCTATGACGCTATCTCACTGTAACTCTATGACTTTATGACTCATGACTCATGGACTCCATGACTCTTGACTGTATCTGCATCTCGAGGTCCCGGTCGGGCTATGAGCCACCACGCTACGGGGATCTCGATTAAGCGTTCCCACACATAGAGCATAGAGTGAACTACATCGAGTCAAGTGCATGCTACATAGATGACTCCATGACTCTGTGACTTGATCTCACTATGACTCTATGACGCTATCTCACTGTAACTCTATGACTTTATGACTCATGACTCATGGACTCCATGACTCTTGACTGTATCTGCATACGATCCTACACACTGGATCTATCACATAGCCCCACACTCTTCCCTGATGATGCTTTCGGGCCAATTGTCTTCTAGTTAAAGGAACACAGCCTCAGCCAAACAGAGGTGTGGAAGACCACGCCCCTCGATCGGCCGAGATCCGACCGACACCTGCCGGGCAAATCAATTCCAGGCGGCTGTTCTTATTAAGGGAACACAGCCTCAGCCAAACAGAGGTGTG